CTATCGAAATTCAGAATTTTCAAGGCTCAGATATATATATGTATGAACATAGTTATACTCCTTGACCACAAAAGGCCTCATAGAGCTGGGATTATGTTTATCATCATCACCGTAATTTATCGAAAAAATACTAAACAACAAATCATAGAATTAGAAACAGAACATCAAACAATTTGGACATTTGCAAAACGATAAAACCAAAGTATTATCGGAGATCTGAGATTAGATATCGAAACCTATACAAACAAAAACTCAATAAATTTTTTTTTTTTTTCTAAAGTTATCCTCTCAGACAAATGCCTCGAATTGTCCCCATGATGTATGAATGGATTTGTCGGACTCGTCATCTATTGATTGTTCATCATTGAGAACTTTTTCTTTTTTCAAAAACAGAAAAAATCGTATAGTTTATCGAAAAAACGAGTGTAATCAAGATCGACTTAATCAGTACGAAATCAAGAGACGAAAAACAGCTAATTAATCTACGAAAGAAAAATTGCAGAGACTACGGAACTCAGATTGGAAATTAATTTTGGGATTTGACGGAAGCCGGCTTATTTATAGGAGACTTTTAAAAATAGGGTTAGGTTTTAGGGCGTCTCTTCTACAAAAACGACATGAAGTCCTATTATATTGACTCTGAACAGCGACTAGTTCGTGCCGAACACGACTATTGAATAATGTAATGGGCTTCATCTCTCATCTAGCAAATTGGCTTTGGGCCTTACGTCGATTCGGGATTTACTAAATTCCAATTGCATTTCTTTCGATCAATTAAACACAAAACAAAACTCAAAAACGTCATTGAATCTCTTTGTTACAAAATTGAGACAGTTTATCATATTCGGTTAATGGTTTAACGAAGGTATAAAATCTATAAATTTTGAAAGTCTGAGTATATAATAGGCAACTGTAAATACTTCATGTATTATTCGAATAACTAAAATAGTTCGGGTATTTTAAAACCAAAATAAATTCAATCCAAGTATTTTTTACGAATTTTCCCATTAATATTGATATTGGGCTGTAAAGACTTTATATAATCGTAAACCCAACTTATTATATAAATCATAGAAACTTGATATTTAATTATATATATTTTAGTTTTTTCTCCAATTAAGGTTTTAATTTTTATGTGTCAGTCTTACATAAAAAAAAGTATATAAATTTTTTTAATTTTGATGTGTTATATATATAAACTAAGTAATCGCGTGTGCGAGTATGAATTTTTTTAGAAAATAAATGTATTTTAGTACTTAATAACACAAATTTATTATTTATTGTAATTAATAAAATTAGATACTGTCGTAATAAATTGATTTCTAGGTTATTTTTTATAGAAGGTCGTTGCCTTGCTCTTCTCTTTATGAATCTTTTGGTGATTGTATGATTTATATATTTTGATTGTATGATTGT